AAGTGTTCAAGAGCAAAGATGTCAGCTTGAGGACTAAGATGCACATGGCCCAAGCCATGGTATTTTCAATAACCTTATATGAATGTGAAATTTGAACAATGAGTTAGGAAGATCACAGAAGAATTGATGCATTTGAGTTATAGTGTTGGAGAAGAATATTAAAAGTGTCTTGAACTGCAAGAGAACAAATACATGTTGGAAGAAGTACAGTCAGAATTCTCCTTAGAAGCCAGGATGTCCAGACTTTGTCTCTCATATTTTGGACATATTATCAGGAGGGACCAGTCCTTGGAGAAGGATATCAAGCTTGGTAAAGTGGAGGGCCAGTGAAAAAGAGGACAACTCCTCAGAGAGATCACCACAATTGTGAGGATGGTTCAGCACTGGGCAGTGTTTCGTTCTGTTGTTTACTCAGTTGTTATGAGTTGGAACTGACTTGATGGCACCTAACAACAAAATAGGGTCGCTATGAGTTGGTACCATCTTGATGGCAGTGGGTCTCCCAGGTTTTGACAATGCCAAGTCTAACAGGCCACTTCTTTCCCTTACTTCTTTCAATGTTGACTTCTGACACTGATTCCAGCTTGCATATTCTAAATAAATCACATCACCAATTGATTCAGCAACTTAAGTCTTTTTAAAGTTTTGAAAAAAATTGAGAATACCTGGAGTTAACAATGTTTTATCAAAAAGCTAGTTGTATTTATTTTGTCAACATGATTTTATCTTTCTTTCCAACTCTCATAATTTTTTCTCCAGTTTGCTATTTTATTAATATTGTTGTTTTAAGTGCCGTCGAGTCGGTTCTGACCCATAGAGACCTTGTACAGGGTTTCTGAGGAGTGACTGGTGAGCTTGAATCACCATCCTTGCTGTTCAAACTGACTTTGCCGTCCAGCGCATTAACCCACAGCACCACACCATTAATCTAAAACTGAGTTGGCTGAAAGCACAGTGGAAATGTACACAATAAATTCTGCTGTGTGGAATTTTCTTGGCATTAAAAATCTAATCTCTCTTGGCAAAAACAAAACAACAACAAAACAAACCCCACAATTTTACATTTTATGGTGTTTGGTTGTTTTTCTGAAAAAACAAGTTTTAGTAACAAGTGTTTCTTCTGAACAGTTCTATAATCAATTCTAATTATAAGTGTATGCAAGAGAAAACACACTGGGACTCTACCCAATTATTTGGTTTCCACTAATAAGGATAAAGTCTATGAAACTCAGTTATTGTTTTTTTTTTTTTTTTAATGCAATAGGCTGTCAGTCATGATGTATTTGTAATGACATTAAGTGGCACAAAGCCAGAACTTAGAGCAAAACCTCACTTGGCAGTTCCACCGAGCAGGGAAGTGGCAAGAGTAATTTTACAAATTGTCGCTCATGCATGGAGCCCATTAAATAATTCAATAATTCCTCTTCACCTCTCAACAAAGATAAACATGGCATCCTCCAATCCCGACTGCTATTCAAAATCTATTATCCAGAGCTCTATGGAGTTGGGAAAACGATGCTGTGAAGAATTACTTTAGTCATTTTGAACCGTAACTGATTTTGAATTTCTCTCCAACTGAAACCTCTGCTTGTCCCAATGAGTTAGGTAGAGGCCTTCCAAGTGTTTTAAGTGGAATATGTCCTGGGGAACATTTCCTGCCATCACACACCAGGCATGTGAGTCTTTAATGCCAGGGACTTTGTTTTAGGTTCCCAAGAAATATGAACTAGTATACTGTGTACACAATCCACCTGACACTTACTGCCAGTGTTTCTTTGGAATTTGCATGGAAAAAGATACAATCTATCCCCCATTTCTTTTCTTGTAAATTTTTTTTTTTTCATAAGCAGTTTCAGTTTCTAAAGGCAGGATTTCATTTCAGATTTTCAAATAAGTGATCAAGAACATAAAGCACTGTTCTGCTTAAAATAATATTGTTAGCATAGAAGTATCCATTTCCTGCTGGAGAGCTGACAAGGTTTCTGACAATCTTGTGCTAAGATACACCCAGCACTGCCTTCCAGCATTCTCCACCGTGTATCACAAGGTAAAAATGACACCCTCAAAGGGTTGCTACTTCCTCTCCTGTTCAAAGGAAGTCTCCTTGAATGCTTGCCAAGCTAAGGATCAATTTACATCACTTGAGGAGGTGGGTGTCACTAACAGGGTTTTGACTTGAAGTCCAATGTTTAGCAGTAAGGCATGCCAGAAAAATGTCCCAGATTCAATTGTCTATTTCATTCTTGTTGCTAAATTAAGCCTTTATAATTTAAGTATTTCTATTAGAATGTCACATCCAATGACATCTGAGATGAAAAGGTAGAGAAATGTGATATGAAAAGCAGAGCATTATAACAAATTCATTCACATACCTTAACTTGAAACTTAACTTGTTATCATGTACGCTGGGAGCAGTATCTGCTAATATGCTGCCATAGGAATGTTTAACATTTCAGAAACCTAACACAGTAAAATGGACAGAGGATGACTGCATAGAACCACAGCGGCAAAACCAACCAGGTCAGAGCTGTAAAGTCAACCAGTCTCTCTTATTCTGTTGTTCTCAAGTACCGCTGAGTCAGTTCCAACTCATACAACCCTGTATAGGGTTTCTGAGGAGCGGCTGGTGAGTTTGAACCACCAACTTAGGGCTTCGGGTTTTTCACAGCAAGGGGAGGACACGGTCTAGGGGCATTAACTCTACTTCTACAGGAAGTGGGTCACAAAATCAGAGATGGATGAAAAAGCCAATGTTACATGAAAAGAATTGAACTTCCTTAGAGTTCTCATTCAGAAATGCATTTTGAAATGATTAGCTCTCGACGAGCTGGGACTAGAGGTGATCCAAGCATCTGATAACAGAATCTCTTCTCTCTACACTATTCCCAGAGGAAATCCCCACCTCCAAACATGACATGCATCTTGAAGAACACAGAAGATCAATACTGTTCCTTCTAAGATGCTACCCGTGTCCACTCTCACAAAAAACTCACAGAAGATTACGTTTGGTGGTTGGCAGTTCTGTGCAGACAGCATGACAAGCAGACGCGACCTCCCTGTCTCTTCAGAACAGCTATATCGTTCTGAATGTGGAGGTACCGGGGATCATGTGAGTAAAGCCAGTAACACCAGTTGCACTATGAGTTGGCACTATGAGTGTCAGAGCAGAACTGTGTTTCAGAGGGTTTTGAATGGGTGACCTTTCTTTTGGCATTAAAATGCCAGGTCTTTCTTCCGAAATGCTTCTGGGCGGACCAATCCACCAATCTTTTGGGTAGTAGCCAAGTGCTTAAACTATTTGTGCTATTCAAGGACTAGTGAGTTGAGGGCTGAAACATACAGATGAATACAAATACCATTCCAGTCAGGAGAGGTACTCAACACTTAGCCCTTTCAGTGGAATTTTATTATATGAAGATCCCATCCCGAAAGCACTGCAAAGAGAACATTGAACTTCGTGTACAACCAAGCGAGGTTAACCCCTCTCCAAATTACATATCATAGAAGGCTAGCTACATCAAGTTAAAGGCTTACACTTCTCTTTGGCAAAGGCCTCAAACAATGCTAGAAAGTGGGGTTTCCCCCAGTAAGAATACCACTGTGCACCCAATTTCGTCACCCAAGACTGAACCTGCCAAAGGGAAGGGCCGTGTAGGTTGACTTTTAAGCTGCTTTGCTCACGTTGATTACTAGTGTAGGTGAGCTCCAACCCAGAGGTTTCTGCATATGGAAAGATGTGGTTTCAAAGCATTGAGAAGAGTCCAAGTCCCTCTTGTTTTCTTTTTGGGACTCTTCTCTTCCTTCTCTGACCGCTTGCTGGAAATACGGGCAACTCTATCTCCCTATAAGATAGTGACCATCTACGCCCCAGAGAAAATTTGGAAAGAAAACCCAACCAACTGTTGCCATTGAGCTGATTCAGACTCAGGAGTACCCCAAGTGTTGCAGAGTAGAACTGCTCTGTAGGGTTTTCCAGGCTGCGGCCTTTTCAAAGTAAACCTCCACACCCGTCTTTCAAGGTGCCTCTGGATGGGTTCTAAGCGCCACCTTTCTGGTTAGCAGTCAAGGGCTTAACTGTTTGTGCCACCCAGGGACTCTACAACCAGCTTAGTGAGAAGAGAATTTGCTTTACTCATTAAGACACTGATGATCAATTTTAAGTATATAAGCTTGTTTGACAATGACCAGCTGGGTGACAATGTTTTGGGGTTCAGCACCTGTGACATCTTGCCTGCAGGAATGAGGGTTCCTTTCGGTGAGGGCAAGGGGTGCAGCCAGGCTGCTGTACCCCACCCAGGCATGGCACCCTGGGCAAAGTCTCACTAGAGGTAGGTTTTTAGTTTGACACCAACAACACTCAGAAATGTTGGGCACTAAAGGATAGGAGGCTTCCTGCCCACTCTAGCATGATGGGCAAAGGCTGTTTGCCTTCAGAAGACGCTGGTGAGTAAGGTCAGGAGGTGACCTCCTGTAGGTTCCAACTCCCACTCAGGGCACAGAGAAGGAGACCCACAGAAGGGCTGCTGCTCTGCTTCTGACCCACACTGACGCAGGGTGAGAGCTGGTGTAAAATCTCCTAACTGCAATTAATACTAAAGGCTTCCTGTAAGCTAAGAGGGCTTACAATCTGTATACCCTTTCTCCGGACATCTGAGACAGAAGAGAACAAACCACAGCTTGTGTTTTCTTGTGGCATGTCTAGGCATTTTGGCATACCCAGTCACATAAAGCCTGAAGTTCAAATCACTCTGTTTTGTTTTAGAAAGAGGTGGGTTTCCTGTTTGTTTTTAAATTTATTGTTATTATTTTTCCTGGAAGTAAGGGAGGAGGAAGCTTTAAAATCAAGAATACAGTAAATCTGGAAGGCATCTGGGATCAGAACAGTGATTTAAGACTTGTGGATACAGGAGGAAGCCTGGGCCTCATACCCCTGCCTGATGCACTGGAGACATCATTCTCATCATGGCTGAGTTCAAGGTCACTCCAGCGTAGACTCGGGTTCATTTCCAGCGATGCCGCACGAGAGACGACTCATCATTGACGACCTCGGGGCCGCGGGGGCGGTGCCGATACTGGAACGGAAGTAGCAGCAGGATGATGAGCACGAGGAGGATGATTCCACACACACTCATGAGCGAATAAGAGACAATCCAGAGAATGGGTTTGTTCAGAGGGAGGGCAGGGACACAGCTGCTGGCGATGTCATCGGTTGAGAAAGGCCCAGAAATTTCAGACACCGGAGTACCCGCAATTTCTGAGGAGACAAAAGGGGAGACATCCACAGCTATGAAAAGAGCCTTCTCACTGACAAACGAAACCACTTCTTACTTTATGAAACCACACACAGTTTAGTTGATAATCTGACTCCAACCATGCACTGTGAGTGCTAACCGGGCCGAGTGACTCCAGAGGGTCTAGTCCCCTGTGAAGTGGAGCAACTGGGCATTTCAGGGTCTGAGTGTGAGTCATGTGGTGGAGGGCAACATACAGAGGATACAGCTGTATGCTTCACATAGGGCTGCCAACCCTTCTGAAGGCTCAATCAGACCTTTCTGAATCACAGTGGTTGTCCCTGCTTAGATCATCCTGGATTCATGCTCTAAGGCAAATTCTACAATAGACAGTGTCCTCATGTAAGCCTGGAACCCACCCACAGTCTTGAGGGGGTTCCTAGACAGAATGAGGAAATCCTACTACTCCCCATACTTGTCCTATGTCATGTCACACCTACCTTTTATGGGGACCCAGCATCAGGAGTGAGAAATGAGTATGTAATCTATCATGAGTTGAACTGTCCCCCTACCAAAGATGTTTGGAGTCCTGACCCTTATATCTATGGATATGAATTGGTTTGGGGCTAGTGTTTTATTACTATGTGAGGCAAGGCAGGGGGCCCTGGTGACACAGTCAAGTAAGGATTGGGCTATTAGCTGAAAGACTCGAGTTCGAACCCATAGTCGCTCTGTAGGAGAAAGAAGAGGCTGTCAGTTTCTGTCAAGATTTATAGCCTCAGAAACCCTATAGAGCATCCTACTCTGTCCTATTAGGTTGCTATGAGTTGGAACAGACTCTGCAGCAGTGGGAAGATGACCATTAATGAGGCTACAGTAGTGTAGGGTGTGCCCTAAACCTAAGCACTTCTGAGTTCTAAGAAGCAACACAGGCAGAGAGACAACACAAGGGGGAGACACATGCTATCTTAACGATGGAGCCACAGGATCTATAAGCCCAAAAACTCCAACAAGCTGATGGATATCATTCCTAATGTGAGATGGATCTTGGCTGAAAGCAGAAAATTCCAGAAAGATATTTAGCTGTGTTTTGCTGACGATACAAGGGCATTTAACTATGTGAATCCTAACAAATTATGGATAATGTTGTAAAGAATGGGAATTCTAGAACATTAAATTGGGTTCATGCAGAACCTGTACATGGACTAAGAGGCAGCTGTTTGGACTAAGGGACTACTGTGTGGTTTTAAATCAGGATAATGTGCACTGAGGTTGTACTCTTTCATCATGTATGCTGAACAAATAATCTGAGAAACTGGCTGTATGCAGAAGAATGTGTCATTAGGATTTATGGAAGACTCAGTAACAATCTGCAATGTGCAGATGGCATCACCTTACTTGTTGAAGGCAAAGACGACTTGAAGCACTTACTGATGAAGATGAAAAGCTATAGTCTCAGTATGGTTAGACCTGAACATAAAACACAAATCCTCACAATTGGACCAATGAGCAACATCATGATAAATGGAAAAGACTACTGACAATGTCAAGGGTTTCATTTTACTTGGGTCCACAATCAGAACTCATGACAGCAGCAGTCAAAAAACAAAACACCCCACAACAACCAAGTCCTTCCCCTCCCCCCCCCCAAAAAAAAAGAGAAGGTCAAATGATTTATTGCATTGGGTAAATCTGCTGCAAAAGACTTAAGTGTTCAAGAGCAAAGATGTCTCTGTGAGGACTAGGTGTGCTTGACCTAGGCCATAGTATTTTCAATTGCCTCATATGCATGTGAAATATGGACAATAAATGCAAAAGACTGGAGAAGCATTGATGCATTTGAATTACGTTGTTGGTGAAGAATATTGAAAATACCATGGAATACCAAAGGAACAAACAAGTCTATCTTGGATAAAGTACAACCACAATGTTCCTTAGAAGTAAGGATGGCAAAACTTAGGCTCCTGTACTTTGGACATGTTATCAGGAGGGAACAGTCAGTCCCTGAATAAGGACATGAAACTTGGTGTGGCACCAGAGGATAACTGCTTGACGACAGGGTCGGTTTGAACTGCAAGGTCGGTGATTCAAACTTAACAGTCACTTCTTGGACCCCCTATACAGGATCACTGTGGATCAGAACTGACTCAATGGCACTTAACAAAAACAACTTGGTAAAGAAGAAGGTCAGTGAAAAAGAGGAAGACCTTCCATGAGATGGATTATCACGGTGACAGCAACAATGGAATCAAGCATAGTAACAATTGTGTTGAGGATAGCACAGGACTGGGCAGTGTTTCCTTTGGTTGTATATAGAATCATTATGAGTCAGTATGGACACAACAGCACTAAACAGCTACAAGAATAACATACACTTCAATGTTTTTGCTTCTCTAGAGAACGCAGCCTAAGACAGCAGGCATGGGGGTAATCAGAAAATTGCATTTATCCATATAAGCATTTATCTATAGGCGCACAGAATTAATTTAACACGTTAAGCTTTATTTGGAAGAAAAAAGAAAAGAAAAAGGCCTTGCTGCCCACTTTGCCTATATTGAATGGTAAAAATGAATATTTCAGCACCAGAAAATAATGTTGTTAAGCAGTTAAATTTCTTTTAAACTAAAGTATTAGCATCCTAAATCCTGCCAAATAAGAAGAGCCCTTTTTTCATCTTTAAATGGAAGAAAGAAAAAGTCAAAATGACAATGGAATAATGGCCTTAAAAAAGGGAAAAGAAGTTTGAATGCTTTGCAAAGAGGATACATTTCTTACTAATATGGACTCTTATTATATGGCTTTTTCTAAGCACACAAGAGGAGAAAAGGAACAACTTGCAAATATACAAGAACCTAGGGATGTTGGCCTTCAGCTGATCTGACCAAAAAGGTCTATAGTTAGTTCAACAGACTATCTTTCCTGGGCCTCTTCTTATGAAAATTAAACTTTTATTGAACACATCAGGTTCATTCAAGAGAAGGGCAATGAACAAGAGATTGTAAATACCTAAGTACCCAGGGAAGGAGCTCTGGTAGCGTCGTGGTTACAAATTGGGCTGCGAACCGCAAGGTCCACAGTTCGAAACTACCAGCTGCTCCGCGGGAGAAAGATGAGGCGATCTGCTCCCATAAAGATTTACAGCCTCAGAAACCCTGTTCAGGGTCGCTATGGGTCGAAACCGACTCGACAGCACTTAACAACAACAACAACAACAAGTACCCAGGGATGATGGCCTTCAACTGAGGTAGGCTCCCAAGTGCCGATCCCTGGGTTAGCAAATGGCATAGCCCTGGGCCAATCTGGTCTGCTTTCTTGTTTTTAAAATAAAATGTATTGGACATAGTCATGCTCATTCTTTGCATAGTATCTCAGTGACTTTTATATTATAGCAGCAGAGTTAATCAGTTATGATAGAGACCATCTGGTCCATAAAGACTCAAGTATTTACTGCCTGGCCCTTCACAGATAAAGTTTGTTGAGCCTGTCATAAAGCATGAAAATGCAAATATTTAACAAACATTTTAAATAATAATTTTAAAAGCCTTGTTATTAATACAAAGGCTATTCATATTTATGATAGAAAATTTTTTTTAAAAAATAGCTAAGTTAGAAACAAGGAAAGCCACTCAAAAACTCACTACTCAGAAATCATCAGTGTTAGTATTTTATAATATAACCTTTTTCTATGTATCTATGCTTTTATTAAAACCATGTAAACTACTGGTGCAGTTGTGCAGATTTTTGTAAGCTGCATTTTTCATTTAGCATAAGATAAAAATCTTTCTTATGTTATTTAATATTCAACCATAAAATTTTTATGACTACATATAAAAAGATCTCATAGATTGATCAAATTTGTTTGATAAGTACATATTTGTGACCATTTATGTTGCGTCCTGGAGTCTTGGCGTGGCACTGTGGATTAATGCACTGGACTGCAAGGTCGATGATTCAAGCTCACCAGCCGTTCCTTGGGAACCCTATACAGGGACGTTATGGGTTGGAACCAACTTGACAGCACTTAACAACAACAAATGTTTCTTCCAATATTTCCAGTATTATAAACGCTGATGTAAAAAACATCTTTGTAGCTAAATATTTGTTCAAATTCCAAGTTTCTTTTGGAAGAATTATTAGAAGTAAAATTATGGGTCATGAGAATATTTACTTCTAAGCCTCCCGGATTAACAAAATATGCTGACAAAATGCCCGTAAGACTGAGCTACTAGCTACACCTACCACCACGGTACTCAATTCCCCACATCTTTATAAGTATTTGCAAATATAAGAAAGCAAACCTACCAGCCACTCCTTAATCTGAGATCAGAATGGTTATAATCCTTTACTTACTACTAGGGGATGCCATTTAAAGTAAACATTTCTGAACCATTTGCATTGATATTTTGATGTCTTTTACTCACTGCTTCACAAGGATTCCTGATATGCAAGTGACTTTCCACAGCAGGTCATTTATATTTTCTTTTTGAATTTTGTGAATGGAGTTTTCACAAATACAATTATGAGAGGGAGACATGCAAAGAAAACAATACCTTAATACATACAGTACAGTGTAAAAAAGGAAGAGTCATTTGAAACCACTTTGCTTCCTACTCAAGATGGCGGTGTACAAGGGCCCAGATAGGCCCTCCCATCTGACACAGTTAAAATATCAGTAAAAGCTATATGAAAACCACAACAACAAACACTCTGAAAATATTAATCAAGCAAGGAAAGATGATAAATCATAAGAGGCGTGAAGCCAATGAGGTGAGCCCAATGATTGCCTTATCTCATTGCCCTGTGAAGGTGCAGAAAGGAGGGAACACAGACAAAAGCTGGTATGACCCTGAGTTGAGGAGACAGAAGCATAAATTCAGAATGCCAAGGGGGACAGACTTTGTAGAAGAGTAATAATGAGGAGACAGCTGCACAAAGGGAAGTTGCAAATATTTATAGAGGGTTTCACTTGAGTCTTAAACTGAGTTCTGATCAGAGATTGAGAGTAAGGAAAGTACTCCAGTCT